AGGAGTAGCAGTAGGAGTAGCAGTGGGAGCAGCAGCAGCAGCAGCAGCAGCAGCAGCAGGGTAGTAGTAGTAGTAGTAGTAGTAGCAGTAGTAGTAGTAGTAGTAGTAGTAGTAGTATTGCATTGCATTGCACTCGCTGCACCGTCTCTGATGCATGGCGATGGGGACAGACATTAATGTCCGGCAGCTCGAGGCCGCTGTGCACTGCTGGCACATCCACGGGAACACAACTGTACTCATAATGGAAAATAAAGCCTCAATCCAACTCATCTAGTTCGATCTCGGAAGAAGGTAGTGATGCTCCAGCGACGGCTATTGGCACAGCACCAGTGCTAGCGACGTGGTCACCCGCATCCGCTTCGTGATTGTCCATTCCTTCCTCCTCGTCTGAAATGAGATCAATCACTATCATGGCCATATTCGTCTCTGCATACTCTGAACGCCCATATAGAGCCTTTGGGGAACTGCTCGATGCAGACTCCGCCTGTGCTCCCATCGGGTCACCACTGCTTCCGCCACTGCTGCCGTGTTGCGACAAGACTGTGCCGGAGTGAGCAGAGCGCACCCCGGCATCAGTCCGCCCGGATCCACCATGGTGAGGCCCACTGAATCCACCAACCGTTCCGGTGTGTAGATGTGCCTGGCATCTGCTGCTATGCCGCTGACCTCCAGTTCGAAAGCAAATAGAGCAACAGGAACGATATCCCCAGTTGGCCTCTCGGCCACATTGCGCAGTTTGACAAACCCCTGGAGTCCAGGCATTCGGTCCCGAATTTGCCAGCAGATTTTGCAGCGCCACGCAGCGCTCCCCGTGCTGCGATGGATTCAGACTATTGCATAGTGAACAGCAGTGTCTATGGCGTCGCCCCAAAATTTGAAAATTGCATCCAGAAGTCCTGCAAGTGCGTCGAGCCATCGCCATGTCCGCTGGCCCGCCACGAATGGCCAAGCAGCCAGCACCTCAGTCAGCCGCTTCCGTCGTCTCGCCCTCGACGTCCTGGCAAGGTTGGTACAGAGGCATAGCTCAGTCGTGGCACGGAAAAGGCCTCTGGAGCGCAAGGAAACGGCCACTCGCCGAACATGTACCGACACCTTAGCGGCAGCACAGTGGGGGGGATAGCACGCGTGATGTGCACGCATTCGCACAACCCTTGGCGAGGTACACAGCAGCTGTTTTTGCAGAAATGCCAGCGGCGGGACAGCCAAGTTGTGCGGGGTCCGGCACGAGTGGCCCATGTGTGCCGTGACACGACTTATGGGTCCTACGGAGGGGCGGCGGGAAGAAGGGCCTAAACTACGCAAGGAAAACAGCAAACCCTAGGCAGTAGCAGGCCGACGCTCAGTCCACCACCTCTATCTCCGACTCCGTACTGCTAGCCCTGGCTGGAATCACCCGTGGTGGGCAGAAGCCGAGGTCCTGTAATTTGCAGACATGAGAGCTGCTCAGGCTTTCATACTGCCCAATGACATAGGCGATGAGAACAAGTCTGTCCCCAACAGTGGAGGGTTCCGTGCAGTGCGGATGGCTGAACGTGGGCAGCAGATAGGCTCTGGCTGAAACATCAAGCCTGTGCCCGGCCGCAGCCGGAGCTAGGCCAGGCCCCGTCCAGGGCATCCCCCTGGAGCGTTGTATCCACATATGCCCTTGGCAGTGATGAGACAAGCCGATCACCAAGCTGCAGAAGGGTGCATTCTGCCTGTCCACGTGCAACATTGTTGACTGTGATAACCACTGTAGTCCACGCGTGACCCGAATGGAGACTACAGACCAACATGTTGAGCAGGCGAAGGACAGAGCCAAACTGCTCCGTCTGCTTGCAGAGACCAACGAATCCCCTGTGCCCATAGGCCCCGGCCGAAAATTGCTGTTGTAGCTTGGCCTGATGCTGTCGTTTGACCTCACGGAAAGGCAAGAAGCTGACCACATGCCTGACTGCGGAATCAGAGCGAACCAGAGCCTGTCTGGAGATAGCCTGCAGCCGTAAATTCAGCTTCGTGCATGCCGTCCTGTGGCGGCCCCAGCATCGGCGGGAAGCCAATAGTATCCGGGCCCGGCAGAAGCCGCCCCAGTGCAGCGGCGTATTCCTGGAAGCGCTCCAATGCCTCCGGCGGCAAAAGTCTGCTGGCCATGTAACACAACTCATTCGTTGAGGCCATCGATAGACTAGGAGGTACGTTGCGCTCCACAGCCGCCGCTAGGCAATGCAGTGCATTGAGCAACAGCAGCTCTTCCAGCGAGTCGTAGTAGATGTGCCCAGGAAGAGTGAGCTCGCGGCACAAATCAGCCAGGGCATTCTCTATCATGGGTCGCAGGGCAAGGGGAGTAAGGACACAGCAGCGGGAAAAGGAATGCAGCTAGACTCGAACTGCAGTACCGCGCGCAGCAGAGACACAAAGGCTGACGCAAGTTGCAATCGAAAGACCAGGAGCCGCGCCAGTACAGCAGCCCGGCCGGGATGTGTGGGCCAACTAAAAACCCCGCTGAGTCGAAATAAAAATGTAAGAAGGAAAAAGGCTTTCAGGCAGTGGCATGCACCACTTGCATGTCATTAACGATTTGGAAGGAAACGTGCAGAAAGGGCTTTATTTAACGGGCAGCAATGCGGTTGCGCTTCGGCAAGCAGGTCTACCTGATGATGATCCTGCCCAGGAACCCCATGCAGACCACGACAGATCGAGGGTGACGAGGCCCGGCACGAATGCCCATGCGGCCTAAGTAGTAGTAGTAGTAGTAGTAGTAGCAGCAGCAGCAGCAGTAGTAGTTGTAGTAACCGTAGTCGTAGTCGCCGTGGTGGTGGTGTTTAAAGCCAAACTGGCTTCACAAGCTGCACATTTCTGCAGTTTCAGCAAGAATGAAATGAAAGGGATGTGCGGCTGTTGCTAACTGCAGAAGTGGGAGTCATAGCCAGCAGCAACGACAACAAGAAATGGAAACAGGGGTAATTGATCCAAATTCCATCTAGCACCGCATCTCGATCATGAGTCTCTTTAGGTGGTTAAAGGCACAGAGCACTCCTGTCCCCCTCTTGCTTGGAATCACAGATCTATACCACTAGCATCAGCGAGTGCCTCTATGAAATTCGTGAAGCGGCTTTTGCTGTACAAATGGCGTGTTGCAGTGCACCTTGGAGAGACAAGAGTCTTCTCCGAAACGTGAGTAGCAACAACAACAAGTTGACACTCTCGCTGCACCTGCTGTTCATAAGACACAGGAGTTGACTTCATTATACGTAGGGACTTCTGCAAACGGGCCATAAAATCTCGGTCCACATTTCTATCAAATTCTGCGAAACTGGAAATATTGCCGAGGATCGGCAGAGTTGCCGAGCTCCAAAGCAGGAGAGCAAACTTGCTGTTAAGGATTTGCGCCCGCTTTCGGTCGCTTCTGCTGCATGGAGGATTCAGTGTAAGTAGCTTCTCCTTCAGACTTTTCAATGCCAAAATCAATTGCCAAGTGCTGTGCTGGAGGAGTCAACAACCGCAGTGTCATGTCTGCTTGGTCACCCGCAGTTTTGGCCGGTGAGCACACGTGCAGGCATGTACCAATGTGACATCATGGAACCAAACCCATCCTGTTCAAACACTGGTTCTTTTGGGACGTGACTAATCCGCATACTCAGAACCTCAAGTGGGACGATATCACTGAAGTCCGACGTAATGATCATCATTGACCAGCATGTCTAAGCACAAGATATGAACTCGAGCACAGAACTGTCCATCAAACAAGCTGAGCAGGTTGTGACACAAAAGTCGCTCCCATTTTTGCTAACACATGCATGGTAGCCAGGCTTACAAAATCTCAGATACGCACACTTACGCAGACTTCCGACGGCCATAAAGCATGTGCGGGAAGGCATTTGCTGTGCAAGGTGCTCAAGCTGACACTATCACTATCATTGATATCATGACATATCATGACTGATCTCTCCCTGCAACAGAGCCCACAGCATCCCAGGCATTGCAAAGCAAACGTCCTCGTTGTTTGATGAACCCAGTAATCCCAGTAAGTGGCCCAGTCTCTGTATTTTATTCGGCAATGCATCCGAAACAGGGAGGTCCATGACGGCTCCTGGCCTGCATTGGCGGCAGCGGCTCGCCTATCCCCGCACGGGCTGCATTGGACAGCGACACGCTGCTGGAAATGCTGTTCTGATGCAGCCGTTGCAGCAGGTCTTGCAGCTCACTGTCCGTGCAGTAGCAACCATCCTCAGAGTCATCGTTGACGAGCTTGGCAAATGCCTCCAGCCCGAGGCCCTGCGAAGAGCCGCTTTCGTGGCAAAGAGCTTCAAACTCCAGCCGCCACTCCTCGTCAGTGCCAGTGAAGCCGGTTTGCTCGGCAAACGGCCGCATGTCACCAGCTGCCAGGAAGCCGTTGCCCGCCGTGTCCAGAGCAGTAAACACCGCTTCTATACATCCGCGTCTGGAACTGGCCTGGCAAGCAAGACACAGCATGGCACCTTGAAAGTTCTACATCGGCTGGGATACCGCTGGGATGTTCGCTAGTTTCCTTGTAGTGTTCGTGGGGCAGCCAGGAGACCGAGGCACGGACACAGCACCAGTGTAGCTGCAGAAACAAGTTCTTAAGCACCTTCTAAAAAGCTTGAACGAGGCATTGCCGAATCCGCCGGCTAGACTCGGACGGGTCATAAACCGAAGCGAATGTCACTCGGTTCGATGCGGCTCGATGGTTTTCACCATACCTTCATAGGCCACCCGTTCAACCACTCTCCTTCCCCTCCGCTCCCCTCTCGTCCCTCCTTTCCCGCTCCCTCTCGCTCTCTCTCGCTCCCTCTTGCTTGCTTGCTTGGCGTCTCTCTCTCTCTCTCTCTCTCTCTCTCTCTCCAGGGCATGGGGACCGGTCAAAGTCCCCGGGCAAAAATGCCCACCCCAACGTTTTGTTGGAGCTTTCGGGGAGTGAGGAGCGATCGTAGTTTGTCAAAAGGCTAAGGCCATAACGTGTAGGATGAAAGAGCGATGACAAACGTACGATCTCATTGACCTATGCAATCAATCCGGCTGAAACTACATCGGTCCTTTTCCGTGTTGTTCCTTGGTGTCTCTCTCTCTCTCTCTCGCTCGCTCCCTCCCTCGCTCGCTCGCTCGCTCGCTCGCTCTCTCCCTACCTGTCTGTATGTCTGCCTGTCTGTCTGTCTGTGTGTCTGTGTCTATCTCTCACGGCTCTCTCTCTCTTTCTTTCGCCAGGGTTCCGGGCTCAGGGGTTGCCCCCCTCGCCTCCTCTGTCTCTGTGTTAAATGTAGCCATCCCAATGCGCACCCCAATGTTCAGGATGCGTTTGTGAAAACGCTATAATGCCGAATGGCATTAGGCTCAAGACTGGACACGACTGGCTTGGTCGCAGCTTGGAACTTTGCATGGTAGCGGAGCATTGGCCCTGGAGACAAGGAAAGATTGAATTTTAATGGACTTCGCAGATCAAACGGTTCCCAACTCCAGTGTGCCACGGTGAACCGAAGAAGTGGGAGGACTGGGCATGGCAACTCAAACGATATGTTGGACTGTACAAGCCTGTTGCGAAACATATCATGGATGACGTTGGAGGATCCAATTAGAGTGATTGATGATAATCTGTGTGAAGCATTTGATGTGCAGCAAACGAGATCGCAGAATAATCAACTGTCACTGTTCTGACGGCAACTGACTTACATGCACAAATCACTGATGGCGCAGCGCGCGCGATTGTGCGCAATGGGGACACATAGAATGGATTCGAGATTTGGCGTCGACTGCACAATCAGTTCTCACTGCCACAGAGAGCGAGAGCCACGAGCCTCTTGAATGAAATCATTGGTTTCCGTTTGAGAAATGATCACTTGGACAGTGACCTGAGAGAGTTCATGATCTTGAAGAACAGACAGGAGAAGACGATAGAAGACGACTGGCAGGCCACCGGACAATGCGCAGCCGCAGCACCTTAGGTTGAATGTTCGTAGCATCAGCACCTTCAATGAAGCACTGGAGATTGTTTACAGCTACCTAAAGAGCAGGCATCTGACCGTGCCGAGTGGTAGGATTGATCACCCAGGCCACCAGGGCAAGCCGACATGGATGTACGGGCTTTGAAAGGAAAGAAAGGATGGAAAGAAGCAAAAGGAGTAAAAGGAAAAGGAATGTACAAAGGCAAAGGAAAAGGAATGAGAGGAATGAAAGGAAAAGGTAAAGGACAAGGATGCTTTCTCTGTGTCCACCTAAGCCGCTGGAGCAAGGAATGCGCACCCCATAAAATAAGGTAGAATGTCAGCGGTGACTGCTGAAGAATCAGCAGGAGGACCAGCAAAGAGAATGGAATCAGGATTGGATTCAGTATGGCGAATGGTATTATGATGCCTGGACATGGGATGAATCGGATTGGGATTCTGAGTGGATTGGTTCGCTTGACGAATGGTCCGGTGACTGGTCTGGTCTTGGTCTGATGACGACTGGAGTTACAGTATTGTCCTGAGGACTGGTCCTGGAACACTCAGTGCCGTCAGGAGCTAATGTCCCTCAGGACAGCGCCAAGAATGAACCGCCACCACCGAATGTTTCCGCTGCGAGTGTCGACCCTTCGGATCAGAATGCATGGAGAGTTGCGAAGACTGTCCGGGGAGCAAAGCCTGGACTGATGACGCACTTGCTCGT